TTTTTCCTCTTCCTAGTGGACAAAGCAACATTCATGGTTGGCAGCTACGGGCCTCGGCCAGAGGAGTATGAGTTCCTCACTCCCATCGAGGAGGCTCCCAAGGGCGTGCTGGCCCGAGGCACGTACCACAACAAGTCCTTCTTCACAGACGACGATAAGAACGACCACCTCACCTGGGACTGGAACCTGTCCATTAAGAAGGAGTGGACGGAATGAGTGCATCTCCCCACCCCTTTCCCCACCTTGCCACCTGGAGGAATCCCCCCAGCCGTGTTCATCGCCCCGTCCCTCCTCCCCGTCCATGGCTGGGTCTCTCTCCCACACGGCCCTTATCCATCCATCTTATCCCGCTCTGTCTCTCACAGTGCTTCCCAACACTCGGAGCTTAAAACCGGGCCTTCATCCGGCCTGTCGCTGGGATCCTCCATCCAGGCCAGATCTTCCATTCTCCATCTCAGTGCGCAGTCCTTTCGTGTTTCCCTCCGGCATTCCCATTCCCGCACCTAGAGGCCAGGAAGCAGGCAAACCATCGCTAACAGTCCTTCTGCCTCGGTTCCCGCACTCATTCCCATCCCTGGATTCCTCGGTGGTTGCTGCTGGCCCAACGACTCCCTCGTCACATCCCCTGCCAGTTGGGGTTCTTTTGTGGGAGACGCTGTAAACAATGCTAGAGAGTATGAATAAAACGACTGTTCTGAGACCCTCGTTTTCCTGTTTTCTTCCTTTGAACAAACATGGCAACTGGATGGTTCACATTTGTGCGTGTCCTCCGAGGGAGGAGTGGGGAACACCTAGAGAGGGTATTTACATCATTGGGAGCACATTGGTCCCTCTGATACGCTGCAATGGGCAATGAGCATTCAGGATACAGGCAACGGAAAATCTAAATGTATTAGTAATTTCTCTTATAATATTCTCACATGGAAGCTTACCCTAAGCTTGAGACTTCTAGATCCCAGTGCCTATGGAAATCTCATCTTGGGTTTCCCACATGACTTGGCCAAATCAAATATTGTCTCTTTCTCCTGCTTAAGACCTTTCAGTGGGTTTCCAACACCTACAGAATAAAGTTGAAGCCCCTACACTTGGCTTACTGCACAAGGCCCTCTGGGAGCTGGCCCCAGCATGCCTTTCGGCCCACATTTACCATTCCATTACTTTTTGTAATGCTCAATTACTAATAATTCTTGCACACACATTACATTTGCATCTCTGTGCTTTGGTTCTTTACAAGGAACTCCCTTTGTACCTTCTGTTGCCTGGCAGATTCTTATTCACCCAGCACTCTGCTTGCGCGTCCTCTGCAGGAGAAACACCTTCACGGGGCCTTGTCATTGCCCTAAGTACCCTCTGTCTGTACTCTTGTAGCCCCTGTGAATTTTTCTACTTTTTATCACTTTCCATCTTATATTTAAATGATCTTTTTGTTTATTTGTCCATCTCTCCTATTAACAATCTAAGCTGGCAGATGCCAGATCAGAGCACAATTATCTTTGTATCCCTGGCGCTTAGGTCAATACCTGGCACAGAATATTTAATTCTTTTATTTAAATAAATCGACCTGACTTTCTTCTGGTTGGTTATGCTCTGAGGCCCTGTCACTAAACTTGGTCTTTTATCTCAGACGTTGAAGGTTCCCCTAGAGCCAGCTGCAAAGTTCCCAGAGCACTAATAAGCCCACAGCCAATTAGCTACCAAGTGGGCCTTCCTGAATTGGCACCCCAAAACACGAAGTTCAGGGTCGGAGAAGGAGCAGGAGAGGAACAATGGAAGCTGCCCAGTTTAGATGCCTGTTTCTCCTACTTCTTCTCACGTGTGAGCTGGTGCCAGAAGTTGGTGCAGAAGTTGAGAAATCCTCAGGTAAAAGAAAAATGCACTTGGGTGACCAGATGGTGAAAGTGTTGTTATGAGAAGGGAAGGGAACGTGATAGTACCTCTGGGTACTTACTCTCCAAACCTAGAAACCTTTCCAGGAAATGTTGGGTAAGATGTGTGTTGTGTAGTGGACAGAAGGGAAGTCTGGAAGTATCCTTCAGAGAGAGACCATAAGTAGGGTCACCCTCCATATGTTAGCAAAAAAATAATGCCTTAGAATGATAACAGCACTCCTAGAAATTGTGATCTCCTTGCGTTTGGTATGGAGAGAAAAGGTATAGATGCCTTCATTTTTTTAGAGCTGCTTCTTCTCCCCTCAATACCCTGACACCTACTCCCTCTCTCTCTCTCTTTCTCTCTGTCATTCTCTCTCTGTCTAGATGGTCCTGGCGCTACCCAGGAACCCACATGGCTCACAGATGTCCCAGCTGCCGTGGAATTCATCGCTGCTGCTGAGGTGGCTGTCCTAGGCTTCTTCCAGGTTAGTCCAGATGTTCCACTTGCTATTTCCCCAAGAACCAGAAATGTTCTACCTCGAGGGAGCCATGACAGCACCTGCTAGACAAGATGACACTGGATTAGAAGCAGGGGGGCAGGGCACAGGGTCTGCTTTCAACTTGTCCGTTGAGACCTCTAAAATTCAACCCATTCCCAGTCTCTATGCCTTTCTCATACTTGCTTAGAGAGCTCTGGGTCTGCTGGCGGGATCTCCTCATCTACGGATGTTTTGGAGCTTAAGTCTGCAGGAAGAATGTCTCCATCAAACCCTCCCATTGTCCTAAATGCCCTTAGTCTGTACTCTCATAGCACTCTAAGAATAAGCAGGGGCCAGAGAAACCCCAAATTTCATCAACCAGCAACACCTTTTTTAATGGTAGGCCAAAGACTCTTGGCATCAGTTAATAGTTTACCTCTGTCTAAACCCTTTCCCCAAATTGGTAGAATCATTCTTCTTTTTCTTTGCCTTCTCTAAAATGTTGGAAAAGGATGACATTTTGTATATTGAAGGTGTTAACCTCCATATTTCAGATTGGCTGCCTGGCTAATAAAGGCAGTCATAAATGGGAGGGCATCATTCCCGCATTTTCATCTCTCTCTGCTGGTAGCATCTGGCACTTCTCACAGCTGATCAAGCCCCTACTCTCTCATGGCAGACCTTCTTGTCTGTTTCCATTTATTAATTCCTACTTACGGTCACCCTGTGGATTCTGCGTACACAGCTGGAAATAGCTGCAAGGAGATGCAAGTGGGGGAAGAAGACAGGGAGCACATTTTTCAGTGATGAGAAATGTTAGCTGTAGACAAAAACAGCCACCCTCAGAAAGACAGGGAAGGGCAAGAGCGTGGAACTGGAGGAGTGTGCAATAACTTGAACAGCCACCAGATGTCGTCATTTCATCCCTGAGCAATTCCATTGGAAGGAACAGACTAAAAGAGAGGAAACCTCAATTAATAATTGTTTGTAGACTCTAATGAACTCCACACACCCCTTCAGAATAGCAAGGTTCCCACTCCCCTTGCTTGGCCCCAGATACAAAGCTAGCCATCTTCTTTTCTCCTCTCTTTTCTCCCCGTTTTCTCCCCTCCTCCTTCTGTCCAGAGAGATGCAGGGAAGAATGTGTTCATTCCTGTTTATTTATTTATTTTTATTTCAGAATGTTGCAGGGATACAAACATTTCGGTTACATAAATTGATTTTGTACCGTTTGAGTCAAAGTTATCAGTGTGCCCATCCCCCAGGTAGTATGCATTGTACCAGTTAGGTACGAATTTACCCATCCTCTCCTCCACCCTCCCTCCTGCTTGATTTCTGATCAACGTGAGTGTTGACTGATTAGTTCCAATTTAATGGTGAGTACATGTAGTATTTTTTTTCCCCGTTCTTGTGATACTTTACTTAGAAGAATCGTTTCCAGTTCCATCCAGGTTAATGCAAGGGGTATTAGATCACCATTTTTTTATGGCTGAGTAGTACTCCATGGTATACAAGCGCCCAAATGCCCATCAATACATGAGCAGAATAATAAAATGTGGTATACGTATACCATTACCGTTTACTGACTAGAAATGCAGTGTGCAAAGGTACTGTGGCAGCAGGGAAAATGCTGCCAGTCGCTAGGGAAGGACTGGAATCATCACTCGGAAGCGGCCTCGCTGCTCCCCCCCTTGCAGGTCTGGGCTGCGGAGTTGGACGCGTGAAGCTGTGCAAAGCTCAGGTTTATCTACAGTGACAGGAAACGGACTGTTCTTCCACGTCCTGCACAAACCTTTGTTAATAAAACTTCTAAGCTTCTATTCTAATTTCTTTTCTTCTTTTTTTTCTTTTTTGGCCCTTTTGACAGCACCTATTTCTTAATTTTTGCATTTTTTTCGTTCCTCCACAAATTGTTCCCAAAACAGTTGCCTCTTCTGCTATATCAATGACAGTACAGCCCAATGCCATAGGCCTCTATGATTTTGAGGCCTTTCTCAGCTACTAGGAAATGTCATGCTCTATGATAAGGCCAAATGCAAGTCCCAGGCTTAGCCACAATTTTGGTAATTACCAATTAATTCACACAGCCTGGAAAATTCAAGAATGCCACTGCAAATCCAGCCTGTATTCTTAGAGGTAAATGATCTTTCATGGAGCACTAAATCAAGTCTATAATTTCTAATATGAGTAACCATATTTCTCTTCCCTATTCTCTGTTTCCTTCCTCCAAAATAACCTCTGTGGTGTTTTTTCCTCTTGTTTTTAGGATTTAGAGATACCAGCAGTGTCTATATTGCGTAGCATGGTGCAGCAATATCCAGACGTGTCATTTGGAATCAGCACTGACTCTGAGGTTCTGACCCACTACAACATCACTGGGAACAGCATCTCCCTCTTCCGTCTTGTAAGTTGGATGGGCAGCTCTAGCCTCCTCCCAGGTTTCCCTTAGGCTGTGGACTCATAGACTTGTGAGACTGGAAAGGACTCAATGTCTTTGACACTAACAACGGTGCCAAACTCAGGGACACTGTTGACAAGGATGATGACTCAGCTCAAGCTTCCCAAACAGGTGCCGTAATGAAATGGAAAGAGAACTGGACTGAGAGTCAGGGAAGGGCGTTTGCGGTACTGCTGTTTCCCCCACCGGCCACGTGCCTCCGGGCAAGTCACGTAACATTTTTTAGCTTCAATTCTCTCATCTATAAAATGGTTAGACCATATCATCATTACATGATTTTGAGCTCAAAAATTTTTTATACCTTTGGGAATTCACTTATGTTTACAAAACATTTGTTTAAACATCTCCTTGTGCCCAAGATACTGAAAATAAAGAAAACATATTAAATATATTCTCCATTCTCATAGATCTTAAAGTATAGTAGAAGTTGTAAACATAACATACAAGTATCTATAATACAAAGAGCATGATTGTGGTTAAAGTGTTATAAGAGTTCAAGGATAAAAGCAGTGTGGGAATTCTGAAAATAAAAATGAAGAAGTCAACAGAATTGGGATTTAAACGACGGACAAAATTTGGACAATGTAAAGGAGAATTAATGGCCAAGGGGAGAAAATTGAACTTGGGAAATGATGAACAGGCCAATCTGACTGGATCCCAGGGTACGTGTTGAGGGTAAATAAATATAAGACAGGAAAACATCATTGAAGTCATATTGTGGAGAAATTAGAATACCAGCTTAACAGGTTTGTACCTAGTTTGGTTGTCACTGAAAAGCCACTAAAGCCTTTCAATCAGGGGAATGACATGAGCAGGAATGTGTTTTAGCAAGAGTATTTTGGCAATAGGGGGTATGATGGATTGTTAGGTAAAAAGACAAAAGAAGAGGGAACGTTTGCCAGGCTGACAAAATAGCCCACGTGAGATATATTAAGGGTCTATAGCAGATAGGTAGCAAGAGAAATTAAAGAAGAGGCAGATCCTACAATGATTAGATAACAAAATTATGGAAAAGAGGCCACGTTTAAAGGTAGGCTATATAGGAATAGTGAGGGCATGTGCAGAAACAGGAATTTCTGATGATTTTGTTGGTTGTTGAGTTTTACTTGCTAGTGGAATATCAAGGTGAAGATGTCAAGAGTACAGTAGAAATCAGAAATTGGGGCAAAAGATAAAGTTTTCAAGATTTTTAGACTGAATGTCCTGCCTCTTCTATTTCCCTCCTTTCTTTCTCTTCCACTTATCATTCAAATTTCTTTTAAGTGTATTTTATACTGTGTCTCTGGCTTTCTTTAAACTGGACTCTGTTACCTAGTTTATGTCCCATCACTCCGTTATAGCTACGTTTATCCAGGTCAGCATGGCTGCTATATTGCCAAACCCAATGGACTCTTTTTAGGTCTTATTTTACTCAACATTTCTGCCATATTTTACATTGTTGACTACTTCTTTCTCTTTAATATTCTCTCTTTCCTTGAATTCTAGGAGCCTACTTCTCCTGATCCAACTCTTGCTTTCCTAGTCTCCTTGAGACCTTCTCTTCCTCTATCTATATTATTGCACCCAAACCAATACTCCTCCTAATCTATGTTATAGAATCCGTGCTCTGTGAAGGCAGAGACTATCTGTTCACCACTGTATTCACAGAGCCTGGGACAGTGCCTGCCACATAGCAGGTGCTCATTAAGTGTGTGTTGAAAATGAATATATGAATGAGTCAATGAATTAATGTATATTTTCACCTTAAGCAATAAAATTCTTTCACCTATTTCATTATTATGTATTTACTGAGCATTTGGAATACTCTATCTCTAGCCTGGACTTCTCTTGTGATTCAAATGCTTGCCGGATACAACAATTTTTATACCCTCATAAGCGCTATCCTCTTAACATGTTCAAAAATGAATTTATTGTCTGCACCTGCTAAATCATTTTCCTCCATCTAAACATCTAAAACATCATATTATTAAATGGCTATGTTTGTTCAGTGTTTAATTTTTGCAAATTGTTCCTCCTATCTTGAATCTATATTTCCTTCCACTCTTTCTACTCCAATCCTCATGTCCGCTCTTGGTGTCATCAGCATAAGCAATTTCAATAGCTTCTTAACTGATCTCCATTTACAACTTCATATCCAGTTTCTAGACTAGTATCACAATGATGTGTGTAATATGGAAATTTCACCATGACAGTCCTTGCTGAAAAGCTCTTCAATATTTCTAATTCCTTACAAGATCAAAAAGAAGATATTTAATGTTACAAATAGGCTTTTATGACCTGGCCACTCCCTGCTTCTCTAGTTATTTTTTCAGCAGGTTTTGACCCTGGGCTTTACCTTCTCATGAGCAAGCTATACACATTATGATCATCTAGTTCCATGATTTCCCCCGGGCAGTTTTCTCTCCTAGAATGCCACCCTCTGACCCCCGCTCCAAGGCTGCCCTCCCACCTCGCCTCACCCAGCTAACTCTGCCTCACACTCCAGTGAATCAGTTCAAGAATCTCATCCTTCAGAAAGCCTCCCTGGAATCCCCAAATTGGCCTAAGTGTTCCTCTATCTGTACTTTCGTATCTCTATTTTCATTTACAGCTTTATAGTTTATATCATATACTTATATGTCTGTCCCACAACCCTATTAGACCATGATCAATTCAAGGTCAGGAGCCATGACTTATTCATCTTTGTATTCCAAAGGTCTGTAATATGTCTTCATGTCACCATCAAGTTAGTCAGAAAGTATCTGGGCAACTGCACACTGAGCTCACCTCCAAAAGTGCGTCTGAGAGTGCATGAGTATCCTTTAGCAATCCCTTCCCCACCCGCCCAATAGCTGCTGGTTTGCATTTCCCCTGTGGTGAAATAGGGTTAAATCAAGCTCTTCTGTAAAAAGCTTTGGTAAGAAAAGTGTGGAAGGTTAAGCAAATCCCTTTCACTTTGCAGTTGAACCACTGGTAGAAACCCTTCAATACCAAGATATACACATGGGGAAGAAAAATAAGTGCTGTTGCTTCCAACATCTCTACAGACACAACAACTTCTAGTGGGAACATTAGCTTTGCTTACAAGTTATTCTTTATAAAGCCTTGTTGGCAACTTCTCAGGGTTTTTCACTTTTCTTTAGCATCTGTTTTTTGTTCACCACTAGTAACAGATCTACTCTAAGTGAACTTTTGGGACGTCTCTGGACAAGACTATTTATGTGCCATACCAAAAAACAAACACACTGGTTCCTTGCCCAATACTTCATTGGCAAGTCTGGAAGAGACTCAATTTATGTCATGCCAACTTTCAGATAAACATTTTTTTCTCAGTTTATACTTTCAAAAGTTTGGTACATATTTTAATAGGATTATTACTCAGGAGTTTGGAATAAAGGGAACCTCAACTAAGACTATTCTATTTTACATTAAGAAACGAGAACCTATTGCAAATTTTCTTGTACCTTCTTTCTTCTTAGATTTACAGTTTGTTCTGTTTGTTTGTTTGCTTGTTTGCTTGCCTAATTTAAGATAGGCACTTTTACAATGTTCTACCATTTAATTCTGGAAACAATCTGATGAAATAATAATTATTATTATCCCTACATTTTCCATAAGGAAATTAAAGTTATATGAGATCAATTCAGATGTTCAAAGTTTCACAGCCATGAAGTCACTGATGTCTGATTCCTACCCAGTATGACTGATCCCAAATTCTACCCTTTCTACAATAGTATTGTGGCTCTCCAAAGCACTTAACTTGAAGGAAACCTTTGTTTTTACACTAGATTCTATCTACTCTAATGTCCTTCATTCTAACCTCTTTGTCCTAAACTGATTCTCTATCCCCTGGCACCACTTAATCAAACCTCAGGATTACTGCTCCAGATTTAATCTAGGAACTATATGTTTTGGTAAAGAAATTGCAGAATTTAGACTTACAGCATTAAGAACATATTTAGAGACAAGCTGAGATAACGATTAAGTGAAAAAATAATAATGAGTTGATATTAGTGGATGCTTGCAATGTTGTAGTAATAAAAGGCAAGCAAATGCTGTATTTATGCAACACATCATTCTCCAAAAATAGTGCAAACTACTGCCTACATGTGATCAAAAAGAATTTAGGTATAATTCATGGAACAGTAATAAGTGGCATATGACAAACTGGCTGTTTGAGGACACGGCCTATCTCTTGTGAGTGTAAAAGCAGAGAGACCCTCCACATTCTCCAATAGGACTCTAATTGTTAAATAAACCATGTGCCTGTCCTACAATGGAATTTGAGATATTATTTGAATGTTTCTCCTGCTTTGGATTTTTCTCAGTCACTTTTATTTTAAAAAATATAATTAATCTAACTTTGACCCAATAGGATAGCAACGGAAACTTAGTGGAGTCATTCTTCACTCCTTGTGGTCATTTACCAGGTGCCTGTTACAAGAAATGCACCTTGGCAGAACAAGAGAATCAGGAGGAGCTAGTGCATAAGAATAAACTGATAAGTGTAAGAAGCATACGTCAAATTATTAAACATTTTTTCTAAAGTATATATTTACCAAATATATGATAAGCTAACTAGCTTACAAAAACAAACCCAGGGACATGAGGGCTTTTGTTTAACAAATCGTTTCCCAGTGCCATCCAAGACATTTAATACTGTAACTGTTGGGTAAGCTAAGACCATTTTTAATACATTTTCTGAAAAGCTGGGTTGTTAAAGAAATCCATAGGAATTCAAAGGAATATTATCGCTGACATACTAATAAAAAGAAAATGAGTAATTAAATCTCTTCGCATGGTATAGTGCCTAAAACAAAATAATCTACTTCACATATTCTTGGGGAACTTCAAAATTATATTTTCAAGTGGCAACCCTTCTAGCTTGCTGTTTCTGTTTTTCTTCTGGTGCTTCTTTACTTGGGGAGAAAAATAATACGATATCTTATGTAAAATTCTTTCCAAAA